AGAGAGAGAGAGAGAGAGAGAGAGAGAGAGAGAGCTAGAATTGAGTCATCAAATGCACAAATTGTGAAGATTTTTGTTGATATAAGTAGCTTAATAAATATTTTTCCTTTAACGGTTTACATAAATATTTGATAAACATATGCTAAACTCTAAGTTTATATTTATGATGTGCATATTTTTAAGGATGTATTATAAAAGTTTTTAACAGTCACTCTTTCAATCACCTTATATAAATTACTTTAAAATGATTTCTTTTAATCTAATTCATTCAAGTACAAAATGGCTCAATATATGACATAATATTTAGTCGATCTCTATTATGTAGTTTTATGATTGTAGTATCTGTCCCTCATTTGAAATCTAGTTTCCTACATTGAGAGGTATTATAAACAGAAGAGAAATTAATTATTCATTTGCAGATATTATTTACAAAATATCTAATAGAAGAATCTCATCTTTAAAGCTGCTTAATTACTCTCCACATCCCATTAAAATTCATATAATTTTGACATCACCGATGCCATTAAGGGTCCATTTGGGGCAGCTTATTGGTGTGGTAGCGTTTTGAAAACACACCTGACATGTTCAGGTAAACTGCGTTTTGGCAGCTTATGTGTTTTCAAAACGCTGAAAATAACGTTTTCACACCGCACCTGTCTAGGTGGGGTGACAGCTTTCTGGCCGCGGTCTGGCTTTTCCAAAAAAATAAAAATTTGTAATAGCTACCACACCTAACTTATCAGCAAATTATTTTTAATCAGCTTATCATCAGATTATCCAATAAGCTGCAGCTGTCCCAAACAGACCCTAAATATTGAAAGAATAGTTTGTGATAAAAGGAATAAACAAAAAATGTTTGATGCAGTGTTTTAAGATTTTGGATGAATGTATCAAAATATCAATTTTAAAAAGTTATAAAACGACTCAAATCCTTTCTATAAAAGAGGGCTTATTTGGACATAAAATAAGAAAACCTAGGGCTTTGATGAGCTTTGGTGAACATTGATTTCGCTGTTCATTGCCGGCAACTATTGTTACTGGAGTTCCATTGTCTGATTGCGTCACCTGACTCTCGTTGCTTGATTATTTTCATCTAATCCTCTTAACTTTGCCATCATCTCTCATCAACCACATTCAAGTATCTGACTATTGTTATCATCCACTATCATTACTATTTTATTCTTCTCAAATATTTTCAGCTATAATCTCAAGAGATCAAACTTGCGTCATGTACTTATAATCGACTATTCTCTAATTGAGAAAACCTGATGGTGAAGACCTGTATTAACATACTGAATCACTTTATCTATGCTAGGGCTCAATTTTTTTCTCTTTCTAAATTTTTCATGTGAGAACTATAATATTTTTTTGCCATATAAGATCTTCAATGTTATTATATACAACAACAGCAACAACAACAAGAAGAAGTCTTTATCCCACGAAGTGGAGTTGGGTGTATCTTCATGTAAAAATTTTAGTTTACATGAAATGGCTATAAGTCTTTCATGTATAGACTAGTATCGTAAAGAGTGCTTATCATAACAAACGAACTTCATCCAATTCATCCAGAGTCATAATTATACACACACACACACACACTAAGGGTCCGTTTGGGGCAGCTTATAAGTGCGGGCGACGTTTTCAAAACGTCACCGTGCTGTTTGGTTTGGTTCGCACGTTTTTTTACCAGCTTATCCGAAACTGCGTTTGAGTTTTTACACTAAACGCAAGCCGCGGGTCGATCCCTGCGGTCGGCCCGCGGGCCGCATTTCAGGATAAGCAGCTTATCCTGAAATGCACAAGCTGCCCTAAACGGAGCCTAAATTTGATTTTCTTGAATGAAAATGATTTTTATAACTATTAAAAGCTTGCTCAACCTTGAGGTCATTTGTCAAAATTCTATTTCGAGCAGTTTGAGTGTTTAATTTTTCACTGTAAAATCACGGTTTGAATTATAATTATTTTCATTTGGGCTCAACTTTCTTGAAAAAAAAAATGATTGAAATAAATTTTTTTTTTTAACTTGTTTATATTGAGTTCCAAAAAAAACTATACATGATATTAACATTAAATTTTGTAGTTCCGAATTAAATTGGCTTCTGCTGCGCCTGATTTTAAATTTTTCACTAAGCTGAGTTAAACAAAAAAAAAAAACAATTTTAAAATGTATAAAAAATTTAATCTCGCGAAAAAATTTAGGTCCCACCGAGATTTGAACTCGGGTTACTGGATTCAGAGTCCAATGTCCTAACCACTAGACCATGGGACCGTTGTTGATATTGGGGTAAATATTTTATACTTAAATTAATTATTACAATTATCCACCCCACTCCTTCAGTTATCTATCAACTTCTTCAAGCCTCCATCGCCCCATCTCTCGCGATGCGGCAGTCGAGGTGGTTCCTCTCCTCCCGCCGCCGATACTCTTCCCGCAGCGCTGTTGGCAGAGAAGGAGCCCTCGGTTCGCATTCAACTCCCTTCGAGCAATATGACGCCATCGTGATCGGCGGCGACCCCTATTGCTTTGTGGCCGCCGGCCGCCTACCTCGCCCGCTCTGGGCTCTCGGTTGCGGTACTTGAACGCCGACACGTCGTTGGCGGCGCCGCCGTTACTGAGGAGATCGTCCCCGGATTTCGCTTTTCTCGCTGCAGCTACCTCCAAAGCCTGCTGCGACCTTCCGTTATCCAGTAGCCACTCATCCTCCTCCTCCTCCTTTATCTTCCAGTTCAATTTTTCTTTATTCTTGCGTCGTTTCGCATTCCGTATTGTCAGGGAGCTGGAGTTGGTGCGGCACGGGATGAAGCTTCTCCGGCGGAGTCCTGCGTCTTTTACTCCTTGCTTGGATGGGCGGAGTCTTCTTTTAGGTCCGGATGCTGAGTTGAACAGTTCGGAGATTGCTAAGTTTTCGAAGAAGGATGCAATGGCTTATCCGAGGTACCTTTTTTATGTGGGGATTTACATTTTTTTTACCTAATAGTATTATAGTTGTATATTTAATACCTAAAGCTTCGTATTTGAAGTAGAAGATCAAGGATTGGTGATGGGTATCGGCAATTTTAATTGGTTTTCACTGGAAATCAAGCATTTGATTCCTTCTGTTTTCTTTTGAGCTTCCGCTTCTGCTGCTTTGTTTGTTCAGCCAAATGCTCAAAGACTGGCACTTTGGTATGCACAATGGAGAATGGGTAGTGAGCGGTAGATCAAATCAGTGTGCTTTTGATGTTAAATTTTGCTTGAGCAATTGATTTATCCCATTGTTTTGGTTGATCACTAGTAAGCCTCAGATCATAGAGCCTTGTGTGTGATTGGCCAACTCGTATGTTTAGTATTGTCTAGCGGCAGAGGAAGTGCACTTCAATTAATTTGTGGACATGAATGTCTTGATGAGATGAACCCAACTGTATAAAAAATACTTTGATTCAAGCTCAAAAAGACCCAAATTAAACACCATAAATAATGTTGAAAATTTCATCAATTCATTTGAGGGACCAAACCTTTACCAAATTTCACATGCTTATAGTTAATACAAGTGTCTTAGTGAAGCAAATTTGATAAGCCTGGGATCCTTGATTTGTGATGTCATTAAGACAATATAATTTAAATATTAATATATTATTTGATTAAGGGGATCGACTTCAACAGAATTGATGTCGCGTCTTGTTTTATGGACAATTTCTTCTACACATCAGAAGATGACCTAGGAGAATTCTAAAAAAAAAAAATCCATGTCCAAAAGATTTCTAGAGCTTTTTTAGCAATAAGGCCAATGTTCCTTGTCGCTAGTAATGCTTACACAGGTGGCCACCACCAACATTAATGCTCAATTTTGCCAACAATATTAACATCTTTTGTCTCCTATATTATTGCCATCACCACCTACATTACCGTCATTGATAAGGCAGGCATCCACCATCGCCTATAAAGTCAATGAGCGTTGTTGCTATAGAACCGACATCCGCTTTTTCAACAAGAATGGCACCTTGTCATTATCAACAACATTGACATTGCCAAAAATGCCATCTCCTACATTTCTCAAATAAGGCTAGCATCCACCTTCTCCTTCATTGAGATCTTTCATCACCAATGAGGTCGACATCCACCATTGCTACATTGATATCCACATTTGCTGTGAAGATTGATTACTCTATCACCAACAAGACTGATGCACGTTGGGACAATTGACACATATCATTGCCATTAACATTGATGCTTGTAATCTCCTCCAACACCAGCACTTGATATCGCCACCAATGTCAACACTTGTTGTTGTCACCATACTAACGTTTGTTGTCGTTAACAAGGCTAGTGCTTTTCTATATCTACCATCATCGATTAGTTGATGCTTAATATTACTGACAAGGAAGACGCCTACCTTCGCCTATAAGACTGACTTTGACCATTGTTAACATGGATGTCTGCCATTTCCATCAAGGTTGATGCTCCACCATAGTGAAGTTCGCCTTCGCCACAATTGCCAACATCTATTAGCGACATCATTGCTATGCCCATCGTCTCCATTAGAGTTGACTCCCATTGTTGCCACCATCACTATCATTGTTTTCCATTGCTACCAAAATCAACAGTAATTTTCTAGGTTGAGTTAATTTTATCTTCTTTAATAAGGAGAAATATTGAACATATTACTAATCATCTCTTGATGACAACTCTAATGTATCGACATTATTTTTACTTCCACCATAGAAGTCATCTTCCAAAGCTCATGCATGAATCTCACTAATTTAATTATTTTAGCTGAGCCAAGCCTCATAATTTACTTCTGCTTTGGTTTTTTATATAAAAAAGTTATTTTTTCATTACATTCAAGCGTAGAAGATTTACCTATCTATCTATCTATGCGTGAAATTTTGATTCAATGCTAAAATGATAGACTCTTTATCAACTGCACTGAATGTTCCAGCGCCAATCACATTAATTTGAGTCCATGTTAAATCAAAGTGTTGGCAGATCAGATGCATGCATGTCTACATCAAAATATCAGAGCTGATATAAGTTTATAATAGGATCATAATTTTTATCTATTTAACCACATTTAAGCGTCTATTTCCTTGACTTGATGCTTCTTTGGTTGTGCTTAGAATGAAAAAAGGGTTATAACTGGCTTATGGTCTACTTTACTTTGAAACAATGATGTTTGAACTACGTTTGCTATATAGGGCCAACATTATGCAACACGGATTTCTCTCAACCCATTATATGTTTGAGCTCGTTTGGTACTGCTTATTAGAATCTCAATGCACTACTAGTCAAATTTAAAACTCTCTTGTTTAGCAAGGTCCTCTTATTAGGCTTGAGCAGGCTGTCGTGGTAAACTACTAGTCAAATTTAAAACTCTCTTGTCTAGCAAGGTCCTCTTGTTATGCTTGAGCAGGCTGTCGTGGTAAGAAATTCACTATATACTGTCGTGAACATGACTGGCCATTTGATGGTCTTGGAGGTTTGATTCTAATAATTGATAGACCTCCAAGCAAACAAAATATAGCAACTTTTTTGTGATCTTGAAAACTGGACTTTATTCGTGGGATCATTAAATTTAGAACGGATCTATTATTTTTATTTGGCATGAGCTGTATTGTATATAACCCTGCGTTTTTTCTATGATAATGTAAACTTGGATTTATAATGCAATTTTATTTCTGGTACAACAGATATGAGGAGCAGCTCCTGAAATTCTGTAAGTTTATGGATTCATTATTAGACTCATATACTCCGGAAATCAAACGGGATGCACACTCTCTCATGGATAAGGTGAAGGATAAATTTGAGAAGTCTGCATTTTGGAGTCATCTTCTCCAACAAGCTTTGACATTGGGCCAAAAGGATATGTTGTAAGCATTTTTCTTTTGCTGTACATGCAATGTCTTTCCATTTCCTGCTATTCTGTTTCAGTTTTTGAAATTGGAAAAGAATAAGCACTTACTTGTTTTAAGCAATACAAAGCTCTTTGCCCAAAAGAAAGGGCTGTCCAAGATGCAATATTGATATTGTTATTTGCAATACTTTCTTTTGTTTCTTAACCATTTCAAGTATTCATTTTGACAGGGATTTTATTGATCTTTTAGTTTCACCAGCAGCAAAGGTTCTAAATAACTGGTTTGAGGTTGTGCCACCAATTCAATTTACATTTTTTAGGCGTAAAATATCAATGTATTTTCGATCCATATTCTTAGGGATGGTTTGTTTCTTCCTTGAAGCATTTCTATGCCCAACTTGTGCATTTTTTTTCTCTAGTTTTCAAGATAGGACTGACTTTATTATCATAAAATAAGGATTTGTATCATATTATTCTAATAAAAGATGATCATAATGGTTTTTAAAATCTTTAGATTTGCTTTTAAATGTTTATAATACTAATTATCCGTTCTACAATCATTTCTAAATAAATTGAAAAATCTTGAAATTCGTTTGTCATCAAAATTTAGCTCAAGATAACTTCAGTTCCAAATAGCCTGCTTGTTCTCCATAAAATAATTAAGAAGTTAATTTGCTTCATATGTTTTCTATAAATGATTATTTCTAATATATTATAAAATTCATTTGAGATTACTTTTATTTATTATAAAAAATAGACTTTACATCTCTAGTAATAGTTGTAATTGAAGAAATATATCCATTGTTTATTTTTTTAGACAAAATACAATTCTTGAAAGTTTATTTTAGATAAAAATATCTCTAGTTTTGACCATTGACTATTTATTAAATTTCTCCTTGAACGATAGGTTTGACATCAAAAGAGGTTCAAACTTGAACCTATTTCAACTAGGGTTAGAACTATATTTGAGCAATGTTCGATCTATCTTCAAATGTTGTTTGATTCCAACCATATTCAAATCCTATTCAAATAAGATTTGAACACAATTTGAACATGATCCAAAAGGGTGCAAAGAAAGTTCAACTGAATTATAATGAGGGTGGAATCTTGTTCTGTTTAATCATGGTTCAAACATGATTTGTCTATAGCATATACAATAGAGAACAACGTTAACATGGTAGATTTAATAGTTGATTTAGCCAAGTGAGTGCAATCAAAACACATATACTATAATAGATTATAAGGCAAATAAAATAGAATGTAATCTAAGAGTTTAAAAAAACAAAGAGCAATATAGAAGTCAACTGACTTATAATGAGGGTGGAATCTTGTTCTGTTTAATCATGGTTCAAACATGATTTGTCTATAGCAGATGCAATAGAGTGCATTTTAACAACGTTGACACAATAGATTAAATAGTTGATTTAGCCAAGTGAGTGCAATCAAAACACGTATACTATAATAGATTATAAGGCAAATAAAATAGAATGTAATCCAAGAGTTTAAAAAAACAAAGAGCAATATAGAAGTCATAATATATTAGAGTGCAATTTAAGAGATATAACACAACCACTATAACAAATCAAAGTATAATTCAAGAGCTATAGCATAACAACTATAGCACATCATAGTGCAATTTAAGAGATGTGATATAACATTCATGCACAAAAAGGTACAATTCATGGGCTAGAGCATAATAGCCATAACATAACAAAGTGCAATTTAATATTTATCACAACAATCATTATATAATAGTGCAATTCAAGAACTATAACCCAATATTTCTGAATAGAAATGATGAATCAAAAAACAAAAATTTTTATAAATTTAATTAATAATTTATGTTAGAACAATAAAAGGTCAGATTTTTTTTAATCACCCTATGCATCTATATTTTTGTGAAATAAATGCTTGGGTAAATGATCCTTGTAAATTTTTATATGATTAGGTATAATTTTGTGAAGATTTTTCTTTGGATATAGGCACATAATGTGTTATATTGCATAGAATCTACAACCACGGCTGCAAATAAGATGAAACACACATATCAGACTAGATGTAAAAAAATTACTTAAATCTCTTAACATTTTGTTAAAATTCTAATCTACTTCACTATAGGCTTAAGGACTTCACCTGTGGTGATTCTTTTTTTAGGAGATTTTCCTTAAAACTATTTTATATTTTGCTAAATAATCTTGACATCTCAAGCAATCTAAAAAACACTTGTAGGACAAACTCATCTATTGCCAATGATGTTTATTCTAAAGGTACAAAACGGATCATAATCGTACAACATCATGATTTTGTGACAAAGTGAGGTCTCACATATAATTTAATGTATTTTGTTTCAATTCATTAGAAAATATATGAGTTCTGCATCCATCCAAGACTTTGGGAGCTTTTTTTTAATCTTCATTGACCTTAATTAGGGATTATTTCTGCCACCATAATGATTATTTCCTCTTTAGCCTATTATACACATCGATTGTTGATCTATTGTACTGATCAAATGGTTCATTCGACACAATGATATTAGATCTATGGGTTTTTGGGTAGCACCTTATTTATTAAAAAAATAAATTAAAAAGCAATGTGCTGTAAAAAAAAATTGAAGTTAGTGCTTTCAGTTATTCAAGAATCCGTCTGTTTACTAAAGCAATTAGTTTTTCACTTTCCTATTTAGCCATGTATTGGGAAATTATGTTACATTGCCATTGCCCACTAGCAATTAATTTCACTTTACCATTTAGTTGTGTATCGAGAAATCATGATACATTACCACTGTCTATTATGATATTTTTATCTTGGAAGCCTTCTATCAATCCTCATCCAAGATTTAAAGAAATACATCATCTTCTCATTAATTCGGTAAAGAGGATCAATGATGCATGGATTTGTGGGCTTGTGCCGGTTTCTTAATATATCTATAAAATTATCAGTCAAATACTTTTATTTTTTTGCCTCTTGCTATAATCTATAAACCTAATACGATTTTTATGTCCAATAATAAGAGATTGATCCTTTGCGTCCTCAATCTTGTCATATGTACATATGATAGCAAGAGATTAGTCGATTATCTTTTTTACCTTCTCCACCTTTTTCTCCATCTTTTTTTTTCTTTTACACCTCATCTCCAGCCTTAATTGAATGAATGATCTCCTTTCTCTCCTTAGCCCACTCCCTATATGCGAAACTTCAACAAGTTTGGTCAGAGTGTCCATCTTCTTTTTCAACCTTGTTTAATTATTTTTTAACCTAAGTTAAGCGTTCTTCAACCTACCCTTGTATCTCAACAAAAAAATTACTTCAACCCATCATATAAAGTTATGTACTGTTGTGCTTTTTCTCCCTCTCTTATTTTCTCCTAACTATAGTGATGATTACTTTCTACTTTATAACTAGGGTAAATTGAGCATGAGTATGTATAACATATTTATAAAAGTCTTCATTAGTTCTATGCACTAGTGTATGTTGAATATCGCTTGCAAAAAATAAGTTACTAGTTAATTTACAAAAATGGTCGACTATATGAATAAAAGCTTTACATAGTTTGAAATAATAATCTATTTTCAAAGGCCTACACTTACTTCTTTATTGATCAGCATTTACAAGAACTTTTTGCCCATGGCACCTTTCCGCACTTTCACCATATAACATCTTTGGTGACATCTCTTTAAGAAAGTTATCACATATTTTCTCCAGCCCTAGGATAGCTTCATAAACCACCAGTATGTTGTTGTATATCCAACTTTATTGTACAAAACTGAGACATTCTTCTTTAGGGCATCACCTTATTGTGCACCATATTCCTCTTTGGCTCTCTCTTTGTCTTCGCATGACATGGTATGCTATGATATGCAAAGAATGCATCCTTATATTTAACTAAGCCAGATATTTTAAAAAAACAATAAGCCAAATATCTTAGTAAAAATAATATTTTGTTTATTATGGTCAAGGACATAATATAGGAAGAGACACAACTAAGCTTTCAAACGTCACTCTTAGTGCACTCTAGGAATGTTTCCTTGGGCGTAAATTCTTGAATTTTTATTCTCCATCTACGTAATTATTTAATAGCCTACTCTTTTTGGTCATTCCGTTAAATTTCTATTTAAGCTGGTACTCCAAATTCCATCATAGTAATCAGAGCTAATTTAACACTGCTAAATATTGTGTCATTGCCACTAATGCTGAATATAATAGAGAAATCCCCATGCGCTTCATAATCAATTATTGTTAATAATAATTTATGAATCAAATTTTTAGAGAATTACAATTCAGTAAATTTAAACAACTCATTAAATGGGAATATCTTATATTGACAATATGATCATTAGCCTCAACTCGCCTAACAATTTTCTCTATGACAACTTTAGAACTATATATATGAATCTAGCATTATTATGCCTGTTTATAGGTATTCTTAAATTAGACATTTCACATATGCGGTTTTGGGTTTTTTGGTAGAAGAACCATGTGCCTTGTAAACCCAAGTCAACTATAGACCTATCCCTGAAGAATAATGATAACTTCAATTACACCAGGCAATCACATCATGTTTTACGCCTTATTAGTTTTATCACTACATCACTATCTTTTGGTTTTTTATTAACTCCAGAAGGTTTATCTCTGGCTTTATGTTTCAATGCTAAGAAATAGTAGTTATTTTCCACTATGCTTTATGCTTCTAATTTTCTCCACCTGCTAACTAGCTCAAGCAGCTCCAAGGATTGAGTCTTCAGAGACTTTTTTTTTTGCCCGCCTTTTCAATTGGTTTAGTTATGTAGTTTTTTGCTATTAGGCTTTAATATGTTCAAAAGGCAATTAATTTTGTTATGAAATGTGCTATTCCTTTTATTTCTATGTTGAACTTCTTTATCAGGGGAGAAACTTGAAGATTTTTCAGGAGAGATTTTTGCCTTTTACAAATTTAGGGCCTTCTTTTGATTAAAGTATTTCCTTTTTTCCTTGTCTCAAGTTTTGTTATTAAATTGCTCGTTTTGCTGATTTTATTCAATTTTGATTCCATATTTTTTTTAGCAAGCACACACATTTCAACTCATTGCGTAATTTATTGGTTATTTATTTCAATTTATTATTTATTGTAGATGTTTATTAGGTTGTTTTTTTTTGACTTGTTTCCTTTTAGATTTTGAGTTTCAATCAAAATTAGGGAATAAGTATTGAAAATTAAATTTTGTAATTGATGGGCAATATATCTACCTCAAAGGATAGATATATTACTTGTTGGTGGTGCTTGACTAAATAAACTGAAGAATTTATGACAT